CTCTATACACTAATATCATCTCTCAAGATCTGACTTGAGCGTTGGAGGCTCTTCACCGGAAAACACCTCCGGTGTGGGAGTTTCGTGCAGGTTCTGCGTTCAACCGGCGAGCAAAGCAAGCTCAAGGCGAATTCCAGCCGGGCAGGGTGCGAGACTTGTATTACCCGTCTTCTGTAAGTTCTCGCTATAGTCGAAACATACCTCTCGTGCTTGGTCAATTTCTCAGAAAGCAGTTCCAATCCCAAAATTTTTCATATCAACCGAAGCCTTCTTTTTCCAACCAAGCCCCTGAACAACAATCTCAGTATATGTGGTCAATGGCATCCCAATATAATATGTCAAACTCATTTGGCATGCCTTTTCAACAAAGTAGTTTCATGCCAACAACGATGAGTACTGGTTCACAAGATGTTGTAAGAGGTAGTGTTGGACCAGAAGTTGAAGTCCTTGACAACATTTGTCTTAACAAAGAAGTACAAAAAAATAAGGAAGGTGAACCAAAGAGAGGTGCGAAAGCATCTGCAAAATCGTGGACACAAGATGAAGATGTGTTGCTTTGTCGAGCTTTATGCACTATCTCGAGTGCTCCGATTGTTGGGGCTCAACAGAGTTCAGATGGCTTTTGGAGGCGAATCACCCTATACTACAATGAAAATGGTCAAGCTCGGGACTTTATTGAAAGATCTATGGACTCGGCAAAATCTCATTTTAATGATTTTCATGGAAATTGTCTAAAATTTAATGCATCAATAAATAGGTTCCGAGCTGACCAGAGGAGTGGAGAAAATGATGCTATTTTGTTGCAAAATGCATTAATGGAGTGGAATAGTGATGGTAAGAGGAAAGGAGCCTTCAAATGGCTCCACTGTTGGGAAATTCTAAAAAATAGTCCTAAGTTTCAAGGGTCATCAACGACAAGTCGAGGAGGAAAAAAGTCTAGAATGTATGAATCAGGAGATCACACATCTGGATCTGCCCAAGATTTGGAGCTGGATTGTGATGATGATGAGAGATATGTGCGTCGTCCAATTGGTCAGAAGGCAGAAAAGGCAGGGAAGAGAAAGGTAAAATGTAGCATGGGAATTAACACTGATCAGAAAGCTGAACGTCCACAGAATGAATTTAAAAAGTTGGTTCGTATGGAGTCTCCAAAGACCTATCGAGAAATGCTAAAGGAGGACATTTCAACAATGATTGAAGAAGAATATACATGAAAGAGGAATTGAGCCTCAATTAAATTTTTAATAATTTTCTAATGATGATTATGTACTGTATTTTTAAATAATTTGTGTTGTTTTTAATTTTGATATGTACTTGTTTTTTATTATTATGTACTCGTATTGTATTTAATTTAATTGTGTACTCGATTTCTCTTTTGTGTTTAATTTAAAGTTTTACCATATTTTATTTTATTTTGTGTACCATATTAAATACAAGTCCATGAAATATATTAGTTATTTATGTGCAAATAAAATAACAACAAAACAAAAGGCAAAAGAAAGGTAGGTATGGGATGGATACTCACGTGCTTCCCACCAAACTTAGTAGATGTTATCTTTTTCTCATTATAAATATATGTTTCAAATGTATTCTCAGACATCCACCAAATAATTTCTTTCTTCATCTTATTTGCCTTCTCTTTTGTAGTATTTTTTTTTCTTTTAAGATGTCTAGGAATACCAATGTTAAAGTAGCATATCGTGCTTTCTTCAAAAATATGCTTGATGATTCTCTAGTGCAGGCTGAATTTTCCCTGATGGAGGCTGTGATTAATCAGTTCGAAGAAGCCGAACAAGGTGAAAATTCAAGTAGGCGAGAAAGACGAGTAGTACATCGAGGTCGTGATGTCGGACACACTCTGCTAATAAAAGATTATTTTACTACCGAACCCACCTATCACGAGGGCTTTTTCCGCCGTAGATTTCGTATGTCCAGACGTTTATTTTCTCGTATTGTCGATTCAGTTGAAAATTATTCTGATTATTTTAAGAGCAAAACAGATGCATCTGGTAGACAGGGCTTTTCACCCTTTCAGAAGTGTACCGCGACTATACACCAACTAGCATACGGAGCACCTGCCGATCAATGTGATGAATACTTACGCATGTTGGAGCAAAAAACTAATAGAAGTCTTATGGAGTTTTGTCGAGCTGTGTGTCAGGTATTTTCATCTCAATACTTACGCTCACCTAATACTGCTGACATCCAACGACTACTTGCATTGCACGAGGAAAAGCATGATTTTCCTGGAATGCTGGGGAGCCTTGATTGTATGCAGTGGGAGTGGAAAAATTGTCTTGTTTCTTGGCAAGGCTCGTACACTCGAGGAGATCATGGTGTACCAACGATAATACTTGAAGCGGTAGCCTCACAAGACTTGTGGATCTGGCATGCTTTTTTTGGACTTGCTGGGTCACGCAATGATATCAATGTATTGCACGAGTCCCCATTATTTAACAATGTCTTACACGGTGTAGCACCTGAGGTAAGTTTTACAGTGAATGGAACCCAATATAATAAAGGATATTATTTAACAGATGGTATCTATCCGGAATGGGCAACGTTTGTCAAGAGCTTCCAGTGCCCAAATGATCCAAAAAGAAAAAAAATTCAAGCAAAAAAAAGATGTTGAACGTGCTTTTGGGGCGCTCCAGTCAAGATGGGCAATTGTACGTGGCCCGACACGTTTTTGGTATAAAGAAGATCTTAATGAAATAATATTATCTCTATTATTTTACATAATATGATAATTGAGGACGAGAGTGATGATGCAACAAAATGGTCCAATGATGACACTGAGCCTCCAGTCCAAGCACGACAAGGCCATCCAAGAAATTTTCATCGGTACTTACAAATAAGAGTCGAGATGCAAGATCGAGAAGTCCATCATCAACTTAGGCACGACCTAGTTGAGCATATTTGGAATAAACCTAATTAACAAGAGTAATCATTTAGTTAATTTATATTTTATTTCATCGTAACTTCCGCGTGCAATAATATGTATTTTTTCTTTATTTCATCGTAACTTTTATCTTGTTTGAGCAATGTGTTGTCGTTCGTTTTACTTTGAAAAATCTCGTTGTTCATTTTTATTTTAAAAACGTATCGAACTTGTTTTATACCATAAAAGTGAACTATTTTTTTTTTTATCTATGATTAATTCTAGTTTTATTTTAAATACTAATCTATAATTATAAATATGTGAAACATTTAGATTAAATAAAAATAAAAGTGGAGTTATAGTTTTAAAATATTAGTAAAAAATAAGAGTATAATATTTATTATAAAAATAAATGGGAAACATGTGGGACCCATAAAAATGAGGTTTATGAGGTTTATTGTTATTGGAGTTTATATGTGTAGAAGTGAGAATAAGGTTTTGAATGATGTGGCATATTGGGAATAGAGAAAGGAGGTTTGTGTAGTTGTATTATAAGAGATGCTCTTAGAGCAACTATAATAAAAGGTTTTCATGAGGTTTGAAAATTTGATTCTCATAGGTTTTCTATTATTTATAGAAGGTTTGGGGTTTGGATTTTTAAAATCTATTTGGAATTCCAAACATGTTTCCAAAATTATGTACAAATTGTATGTACAAATGCATAAAAGGACGTGATGTTCAATTCCTCATCAAATATGTCAATATGATACACGGATGCATAGGATGAAAAAGGTGTTTGGCCCCACAACAACTTTGTGGTTGTTTGTTCTCCACAATTTATTTAATGACGTTTTTTTCCTTTTTTTAAAAAAAAAATATTCCTTCCAATTGAGTTTCTTTTTTTGATTATTTAATGAGGGCAACTTCGGGTGTTCCGTTGGGCCTCGATAAGCGAGTCGAGCATTGACAAAAAGTGCTTTCGAGAATGCACGAGAAGTGTAGAAGCCGTTTGTGGCGTCAATTTATTATTTCGAGGTCCCGATCATTTATTTAGAGAAGCTCGAGTTCGAGGTTGCATATTAGTAAAATAAACAAAAATGTCATTTACGTGGGTCCCGCAAGGTCGCGTGTGACTTCAGTTTACCGAGAATCGAGTTGAGACGTGTAGATGATTTAGACACGGTGTCATGCGGGGAATTTATTGAGTATTTCGGAGATTCGAGAATTTAACTAGAGAAGCTTGAATTCCCGTGGGAATAGTAGCAAAATGAGCGAATTTTTCGCTATATATTAGCTTATTTAATGAGGCGACTTCCGGTGTTCTGTCGGGCCTCGATAATCGACTAGAGCATCAACGAAAAGTGCTTTCGAGAAAGCAAGAGAAGATGAGAAGCCGTTTGTGGTGTCGATTTATTATTTCGAGGTCTCAATCATTTAATTAGAGAAGCTCTAGTTCGAGGTTGCATATAAGTAAAATAAATAAAAAAGTTGTTTACGTGGATCCTGCAAGGTTGCATGTGACTTCGGTTTACCGAGAATCAAGTGGAGACGTGTAGATAATTCAGGCACGATGTCATGAGGGACATTTATCGAGTATTTGGTAGTTCCGAGCATTTAACTAGAGAAGCATGAATTCCCGTGGGAATAGTAGCAAAATGAGCGAATTTTTCGATATATATTAGCTTATTTAATGAGGCAACTTTCGGTGTTCCGTCGGGCCTCGATAAGCGACTCGAGCATTAACGAAAAGTGCTTTCGAGAAAGCACGAGAAGATGAGAAGCCGTTTGTGGTGTCGCTTTATTATTTCGAGGTTCCGATCATTTATTTAGAGAAGCTCGAGTTCGAGGTTGCATATTAGTAAAATAAATAAAAAAAATTTACGTGGGTCCCGCAAGGTCGCGTGTGACTTCATTTTACCGAGAATCGAGTTGAGACGTGTAGATGATTCAGGCACGATGTCATGCGGGGCATTTATCGAGTATTTCGGAGTTCCGAGCATTTTACTAGAGAAGCTTGAATTCCCGTGGGAATAGTAGCAAAATGAGCGATATTTTCGCTATATATTATCTTATTTAATAGGCGACTTCCGGTGTTTCGTCGGGCTCGATAAGCGAGTCGAGCATGAACGAAAAGTGCTTTCGAGAAAGCTCGAGAAGATGAGAAGCCGTTTGTGGCGTCGATTTATTATTTCGAGGTCCCGATCATTTGTTTAGAGAAGCTCGAGTTCGAGGTGCATAATAATAATAATAATAATAATAATAATAATAATAATAATAATAATAATAATAATAATAATAATAATAATAATAATAATAATAGTTCAATATATATATATACACACACAAATAAGTGGCCAACCTGGTTTGCAATTTGTAAATATGAAATTGGACGCAAAACATGTTGTAAAATTAACAAACTTTTTATTTTATTATTTATTTTTATTTTTTATAGTATATATTTACTTTTGGGAATTAGTGTTAGTCATTTCCATGCAAAAGGCTGAAATTTTTTTGAAGTGCGTGTCTTATCTATCTTATCATGATAAATTTTGATATTATTGTATAGTAATAATGAATAGTTGAATACGTCTATATAATTGAACATTCGATTGATGAAAAACTCAAGCAAAAGAATACTTTTTGTTTTCTTGTATTTCAATGGACAGAAACCCAAATTTTCCTAATTTTAATATGCCTAATTCTTCTGAAGACGATAGCCCGTCTTCTGTAAATTCTCGCTATAGTCGAAACATACCTCTCGCGCTTGGTCAATTTCCCATAATGCAGTTGCAACCCCAATTCCAAAATTTTTCATATCAACCG